ACATGGAAATGAGTGTAGCATAAAGGTAAAGGTAAAGGGACCCCTGACTATTAGGTCCAGTCGCGAACGACTCTGGGGTTGTGGCACTCATCTTGCTTTACTGGCCAAGGGAGCCAGCGTACAGCTTCCGGGTCATGTGGCCAGCATGACTAAGCCGCTTCTGGCGAACCAGAGCAGTGCACGGAAAGGCCGTTTACCTTCCCGCCGGAGCGGTACCTATTTCTCTACTTGCACTTTTTGAGGGTGCTTTTGAACTGCTAGGTTGGCAGGAGCTGAGACTGGGCAATGGGAGTTCACCCCGTCATGGGGATTCGAACCACCAACCTTCTGATCGGCAAGCCCTAGGCTTTGTGGTTTAACCCACAGCGCCACCCGTGTGGCATATTGGGTCTGAATTCTACGTTTTCCCTGCACTTTCTGTTTCTACCACTTGGTGGAGTGCATTCTTTTCTCTGCAACTTAATACTGCTACTCTTGCAGGCCTCCTCAATCTCTGAGCAGTGTGAGATCCCCGTGGGTTCCAGGAACTCACCCAGGGTTGGTGTTTCCTTTGGGAATGAAGCACAGCAGAGACTGTGGTGTCTTGAGGATATATGACTTATTTACATATATATCGGCTTGCCGATCAGAAGGTCGGTGGTTCAAATCCCCACAACGGGGTGAGCTCCCGTTGCTCGGTCCCTGCTCCTGCCAACCTAGCAGTTTGAAAAGTGCAAGTAGATAAATAGGTGCCTCTCCGGCGGGAAGGTAAATGGCGTTTCCGTGTGCTGCTCTGGTTCGCCAGAAGCGGCTTAGTCATGCTGGCTACAAGAACCAGAAGCTGTACGCTGGCTCCCTCGGCCAATAAAGCGAGATGAGCACAGCAAACCCAGAGTCGGCCACGACTGGACCTAACGGTCAGGGGTCCCTTTACCCTTTACCCACACTGGAGAGCCAGTGTGGTGTAGGGTTAAGAGCGGTGGACTCGTAATCTGGGGAACCGAGTTCGCATCTCCGCTCCTCCACATGCAGCTGCTGGGAGACCTTGGGCTAGTCACACTTCTCTGAAGCCTCTCAGCCAAACTCACCTCACAGAGTGTTTGTTGTGGGGGAGGAAGGGAAAGGAGATTGTTAGCTGCTTTGAGACTCCTTCGGGTAGTGATAAAGCGGGATATCAAATCCAAACTCCTCCTCCTCCTCCTCCTCCTCTTCTTCTTCTTCTTCTCCTCCTCCTCCTTGACCTTTACAACCTGAGCCTACAATGGAGGGGTTTACAGCATTAACACCCCAACTGGGTCTTACTTCTCCCATAGCCGCAGCCTTGGATTCAAACAGAAATCAATCATCGCTCTGTGTCTCTCTCTTTCCAGCTTGCTGCTTTGCTTCTAGCTCACAACACTGCAACTCTTAACTCTGGCTTTGTCCTTATAATTTTCTGCAAGTTGGGGGAGGGGCCCCACCCATTTACCATCTCACACAGAGCCCCTTTCCTTTGTTCCCCCTAATGGCCCATCACCCAGGCAATTGCCTCAGCAGAAAGCTAGCCTGGCTTATTTAACATAAGCTGGATCCAGGGGTTAGAAGGGACTTCCCCCAACCCCGCAAAAAATAATAATAATCATAACAGTACTATAGTGTGCTTATTGGCAAAATTGTCATTATTTGATTTTACTGTTCATTGTTGACTCTATAATAAAACAAGCTCTGTGTGTGTGTGTGTGTGTGTGTGTGTGGTTACATAGTCCAGCAAAATTAACATTTGACCCAGATATTTAGAATAGGAAAGCAGAAAATTACATGGTATTTTCCTTTGGTAACCATGATAAGTCTACAAAGAGCCCCCCCCCCCCAATATCCTAGGGTTTTGTTTTTTGTCTAATATCCTCTGAGGGTTTTTGACCGTTTTGAGATGAAGAATGTTCATTTCAGTTAGTTTCAAATATAGCTCATTAGTTGCAGAGATGAGGGTTTTCCCTGCCGCAAGTTGGATTGGGGAGGGATTTTCAGTATGTTTGATACAGCTAGGAAATAAACATACTCTGCCATTTTCAGATTTACATTCTAAAAGTCCAGGGAATTTTATTGGACTACTTCATTTTTAGAGCACTCTTCCGGACAAACCATCCAAGTTTTTGAGTATGCATCATTTGTAAAGCTTGAGGTTTGGTGGACTTTCCGTATGATCTGCTTAATGCATACTGGTCTTACCTAGACACATTTTCCCTTGAAAACTCTTCCAACAGTGTAGTAGTAAAGATAAACGTCCCAGAAGAAAAGTGAAGTTGCTGGTGGCTGTACTCTGTGTTGGACTGCATTTCTTAAAAGCAACTTGGTTGACAAGAGGTAGCAAAAGAAATAACTGCAAAAGTAAAGTGGCACTTCATATTAGGGTAGGAGGTTGGATGATGTGAGAATGTTCCTACTTCTTTAAAAGAAACATTGCACATGCACACGCATGGCTTTTATACATCTGTATATATATCTTAAAAAGCAGAGACATCACCTTGCCAACAAAGGTCCATATAGTTAAAGCTATGGTTTTCCCAGCAGTGATGTATGGAAGTGAGAGCTGGACCATAAAGAAGGCTGATCGCCGAAGAATTGATGCTTTTGAATTATGGTGTTGGAGGAGACTCTTGAGAGTCCCATGGACTGCAAGAGGATCAAACCTATCCATTCTTAAGGAAATCAGCCCTGAGTGCTCACTGGAAGGACAGATCCTGAAGCTGAGGCTCCAATACTTTGGCCACCTCATGAGAAGAGAAGACTCCCTGGAAAAGACCCTGATGTTGGGAAAGATGGAGGGCACAAGGAGAAGGGGACAACAGAGGACGAGATGGTTGGACAGTGTTCTCGAAGCTACCAGCATGAGTTTGACCAAACTGTGGGAGGCAGTGGAAGACAGGAGTGCCTGGCGTGCTCTGGTCCATGGGGTCACGAAGAGTCGGACACGACTAAATGACTAAACAAACAAACATTGAATATAAAAATGTGTTGCTCTCTATGAATTATGCACAGCATAATTCTGACAGGAGAATAGCTGGATACAGTTTATACCATTCAGCATAAAGTACCGTATTTTTTGCTCTATAAGACTCACTTTTTCCCTCCTAAAAAGTAAGGAGAAATGTGTGTGCGTCTTATGGAGCGAATGCAGGCTGCGCAGCTATCCCAGAAGCCAGAACAGCAAGAGGGATTGCTGCTTTCACTGCGCAGCGATCCCTCTTGCTGTTCTGGCTTCTGAGATTCAGAATATTTTTTTTCTTGTTTTCCTCCTCCAAAAACTAGGTGCGTCTTGTGGTCTGGTGCATCTTATAGAGCGAAAAATACGGTAAAACATAACCTTCCTACAATACATTTCTTTTCACAAGCCACCAGCCGCAACTTGTTATATGTGACCGACAATGACGCAACCTTTACCTTTTAAAATGTTTATTTTTATTTGTTTTCAAGTTATTATGGAGCCACAGAGATAAGTAAACAGTAGCAAAAATTCAAGAATACAACAGGGCATCCGGAACCTAAACATATTAAATACGGTAATAACACCTGAGCTAAAATCATGACAGTCATATTTCTAGAGACGGCACAAGGAGTGAGATAACTGTAAATCTGAAACCAAAACTCTGAATAGAAGTGATCAGGATCTTCCTATTCCTTAGAGACCCATAACATATGTGCTATTTTGTTCTGCAATAACTAAATTACAGGGACTTTTATACCGTGAGGATATAGCCGGATTTGTCAATGATTTCCACTGTGTGACTTCACCCCTAAAGGCGCATGCCTCCATGATCTCATGAGACAGATGTAACACCAAGCTGTAGAGAGCCTGGCAGCTGGCAGCAATGCTCTCAGCATCCATGTCAAAAGTTCATTTTGGTATAACGTCTTCATAGAGAAATACACTCTTTACTAAAGCATTATTAGACTGCACTAAGCTCTCCCAAGTGTTGCAGTGCACTGTGCTTGTTACAGCTAAATAGTTTCTGGTCTCACTCATGAAGAGTGCTCGGCTGCATTTGAAATACTTAGCGCAGCTCAAGGGATTTCTGTGGTGATTGAGATTTTGCTGCTGGCACAGAGTATCTGGGTGCTGCAAATCTTACCTAGCCATCCCCTTTATATGAAATAAATCAATAGGCACCTGCTTATATCTAATCCCTTTGAAATGGATTTTATTGAGCTGTTACTAGGAGAGGTCGTTTCAATATGTGGCCAGCTTACAAAAACAGATATGGACTTTGCTAAAAAAATAACCACATACCTTTTATCAAGCTGCAGGAGAAAACAACATGCTGCCAATTCTGTGTATGTTTATTCAGAAGTAAATCCCACTTGCTCAGTAGGATTACTCCCAGGTAAGTGTGCATAGGATGATGTGAACACTTTGTCTTTGATGTGCTCCTGTTAAATAGGCCTTAGTGTTGCGGGGGGGGGGCAAAATGCTAAACACTCACTGAAGAATCTTAAAACTCTACTGAGGCTAGTGGAAGAGATATAAGCAGTGCTCTTTTTTTTCTTAAAATGTGTTTAGGAGTACATTCTGTCTGAGACTTAGGAAACACCATGACAGGAAAAGAGGCTGCCATTGGGGGTAGCAACAGAACTGATGATTCACCGTGCTAGAGAAGAAACTTTTTTTTTTTTAAATCATTAGCTTCTTCTCCCGTTAGATTCACAAAATGTTTAGGGATATGCGCACCCCTGAATACTCCCAGAAAAAAGTACTGGATATAAAAATGCTTCACTTTAGTTGTATATTTACAAGCATGAAGATTGCAAGTTCTGTAACCCAATCCTAGGCATGATTAAGCATAAGTAAGTCAAACATTGTACAGTGGTACCTCGGGTTACATATGCTTCAGGTTACATACTCTTCAGGTTACATACTCTGCTAACCCAGAAATAGTACCTTGGGTTAAGAACTTTGCTTCAGGATGAGAACAGAAATCGTGCTCCGGCGGCTTGGCAGCAGCAGGAGGCCCCATTAGCTAAAGTGGTGCTTCAGGTTAAGAACAGTTTCAGGTTAAGAACGGACCTCCAGAACGAATTAAGTTCTTAACCCGAGGTACCACTGTAGCTCTTTCTTATAAGGAAGTGCTGCAGAAATTCCGCCCTCACCCAATCATGCCAGTTGCTCTTTTCTGCAACTTTCCCAGCTCTACGATATCCTTTTGGGGGTGTGGAGATCAGAATTGAAAGCAGTATTCCAAATGTGGCTTTGCCACAGGTATCTATATGGACATTACAATATTGGCAGTTTTCTTTTCAGTCTCTCCCCTGGTAGTACCAGGAACAGAAGTTGTTTTTTCCGCAGCTGCTACTTGCCAGATCTGACCTCCTCACTGAGCTATCCATTGACCAAATATATATTTCCCAGTTAGTCACCGCCAGTTCAGACTGGATCATTATATATGTGAAGTTTGAGTGGGGGGCATTTCTGCATCATTTTACACTTAGATCTTTCCTTTTATTGCCAATCTACGTATACACTTGCAGAACTTTAACCACAAAGCTATAGCAACAATAACAGTAATTTTAAAATAGAATTTCCATTTCTGAGAAGGTATTTTTGTACATGCTATTTGGACTTAGAAACAATTCCAGCAAAGCCATAATTTAGAATAAAAGTTTTTAAAGGTGCTGGGAGAATATTGGAGTTTGTGGAATTTCCTATCTCTTGAATAGGAGTTAATGGTCCAAATACATTGGTGCTGTGGTCTAAATATCTACGTAATTGGCTGCTCTTTACAGTGTATTTTCCCTTATCCAACTTTATTTCAGTTTCTGACATGCACATCACATTGTCACAATAATTATCTTACTTTTAAAACTGGCACATTAAGACACTAGCACAGTGTGACTTAATTATTCCCATTTAGTTCACTTACTTGTGAAAAATAACTTGGATGTAATGCATGAATTATAATTACAAGCAACATTTTGAATGTTCTGCATGGAAATGCAATATATACATCCACATCTGTTCAACTCTGGTGTGACAAAGTACGAGGGGGAAAACTGGAGTTCAAAGCAAGCGATTTCTATAAATTTGGCCCTATAGCCCTGACAACATTGGGTCAGCTTTTACCAAATGCACTGGTCCACTTTGCAAGTACAAAAAGTAGTGTGTCTTCTGCCAATGATATGTTCGGATGCTGATTCTGATTGAACATATATAACAGCCGCATTTCTCAGATTAGCTGACTCCACTTCTTCAGCCAGAAACCCCATCTGCTGGTTTTGCAATCCGTCCTCCACTCCCAGTAATGCCATTTTTACAGATCTGGAACCTTTTTTTAATGGAGGGCACTTCCTTATCTTTATCCATTTATTTATTAAATTTGTATACCGCCCTTCACAGGGCAATTCACAACATGAAAATACAAAACGAGAACACAGAATACATAACAGAAAACACAAAAACCAGCTAATAACCGCCCCTGCCCCCTTTACAGGCTGTACAGACTACAGGGCAGGTATGCACACAGGAGTAGAGGCTGATGGGACTGCAGAGCCAAGGAGCTGTCCGTTCAGCACCAGCATCATTACAGCTTACCTGGATTACAGGGCTGGGCTGGGGCAGGGAGGAAGAGAGGGCAGGGCAAGGCAGGGCAAACCCAATAGCAGGAGCTCTGCAGTGCCTGTGCATCCCCAACACCAACCAGGTAAGTTGAATGGATGCCAGTTTCAGGGGTCCACCACACCAGCTGCTATGGACCACACATTATACAAGCTGAGAGCAAAGGTGCTCCATACACCTTTGACAGTAGTTTGGCTTTTATATTTCTCTCTTATATTTGTAGGGCTGCTGGGTTTGAGCTAAAAGGAAACTTCTCTTGCAGCGCTATTTTTTCACTGTGACCCACAGGATGATCTGCCAAAGTGGAGCAGGTATTCAGCCGGGAAGCCTTGCGGCACATGGTGCTTGACCTCTTCCTTTGATGAAAGTAGTTGCTAATGTGGAGTCGGAACTTGTTGTGGAGGGAGGCATAGATGAATGGATTGAAGCACGCAGAACTCATGGCGACCACATGACAGGACACTTGAATGACATTGACATATCTCTTGTCTAGGACGACAAACTCCTCGTCTATATCTATGATCAGATTAACCACCTGAAGAGGGAGCCAGCAACAAGCAAAGCACATGACTGAGATGACGAGGATCCGGAAAGTCTTTTGCTTCTTTTTAGTCCATTTCTCTTGGCCGTGGTAGGCAGCCCCTGGGACGCTCCTGTTCCGGAGGCGATAAGTAATGGCGCAGTAGGAGATGGAGACGGCAGAGAGCGGGAGCATGTAGGACAAGAGGAGCATCAAGCAAGAGTACAGCCACCTCTCGGTCTTGTGGTGCTTCCAGAATTCTTCGCAGATGATCATGTCGTGGCCAATGCTGTTGAGATCCAGGTAATGGGTGTGCATGGATGTGGGGACTGAGACCACGATGGAGAGCAACCAAATGAAGGCCACAATGTAGGCACAGGACTTGCATCTGACCCTTTTGCGAATGGGGTAAGCGACGACAATATACCGGTCCACGGCGATAGCAGTGAGGGAGAGGACGGACACAAACACAGTGGCCACTTGCATGAGGGTGACAAAGTAGCACATGAACATCCCAAAGAGCCACCCGCGAATCTCAAAGGCGTACGAGGCAGTCAGCGGGACACAGAAAATGCACATGATCAGATCGGCGGCTGCCAAGTTCCCAATGAGGAAATTGGTGGTGCAGTGCAACTTTTTGGTGGTACCAATGAGGAGGAGGAGGAGAAAGTTCCCTGTGCAGGCCACCGTCACCAGGATGGCGTAGAGAGGAATGAAGAGTGGCTTCAGTTCAAAGAGAAGGTCCAGGCCAGTGAAAACGGGAGTTGAGCTATTGGAGCAGGAGTCGTTGAGGAGCTGGTTGTCTGCTGCCATGTTGGTTTTCCCTTGTGACTATGCTTCTGCAATAAGATAGAAAGGAAAGTTAGGTGGGAGGGGAAATTTATGAGATGTGGGGGACTGTTACATTCAGAGCCAATCTGCACACAGAATTCTTCTCCCCACAGTTCACAGTATGTTAAATATCACTGGGAAATGGGGATAAGTTGTAGGTAAAGGTATAGGTAGAGCAGCCTTTCTCAGTCTGGTGCCCCCCAGACATTCTGGAGTAAAACTCCTATCAGAGCATGCAAAACGTCTATATAACACCAAGTTTGGGAAGACTGTAGCAGCATGTGGCAAAGGGATGTGAATGCCATGCCTAAACTTCCAGTCCCTATCTTTAAAATCCCTGCACATCTTAGCCTTCGTCTTCTATCACCCTTAGCACCTCCCACTCTTCATAATACATCCCTTAGAAGTCCTGAGCAGATCACATTTCATTGCGCCTCTTCTAAGTTTATTCCCTGCTCCTCAGGCATCTTTACCTTAAGCACTTTTTCTCCCAAAGCTATGGAGTCCTTCGGGAATTCTTATTTGCAACTGTAAAAATGTCCTTAACTTCTGTCTCTCCTCATCTTCTTTCTCCCGCCTACCATCTCCAATGGCTAATCCTGTGTTGCAAATCAATTTCGGGTTGAGACTTGTTTTGTATTTTATGTTTGAACGGTGTTGGGCATCACAGCTGGTCTTTTAAAAATAAACACTAAATTGCAGGATTACTCCCATGATGGCAAATTAGAAAGTGGCACCCTTTCACGTCTTATTTGTAAAGCCTTGTGTCATTTTATCTTTGCAGCAGCTTGCAGATACTGTTTGCCAGCTCCAGTAGTTCTTTAAGAGCGCTTATCCCGTGTCCTTCCTTATCTGAGCATTCACAGCATTGCATTGTAGCATCTCCGGTCCATCCACTCTCAGGACTTTAATCTCCTTTCTGCTATTCAGAACATGACCCTGGTCTTTTATTTGCCATGCTCTTCGGCTATGTCATGGTCGTGCATAGTTTACAACTGGGAGAATAAGAAGAAATGAACATAGGCTAATGCAAAGAGCATTTTCATTCAGTGGCTGATGTCCACTGATGACATAGAATCTCTTGAGGCAAGAAAAGTGTTGACTGGAAAAAGCTTTCTTCATTAGTCCCACCACCCCCTGCCGTCCTTGATCATTGTGTCTTTTTAAAAGGAAGTTCACATGGTTCCCACTGTGATGCAATTTAGCCACCAGTCAAGGGTATCTTAGTTTCCCCAGGCTTCTATTCCACTTGAACTTCTCCCTTTTTAAACAGTTGAACTCAGCTGTTGTTGCTGTGTTTGATGCATTTTGCGGGTGCTAGCTGTGTGTGTGTGTGTGTGTGTGTGTGTGTGTGTGTGTGTGTGTGTGATAGTTATGTTACATATTCATATTATTTGTCACCTTAGGAACTCTTGGGAGTTGAAGATGCAGGGTACAAATGTATTAAATTCAATAAGTACTGGTTTCAAGATATTACTGAAGAGCAGTGTTAGAAACTGAGATATGAAAGCTAGGAGCTAAAATGTCACCTTAAACCTAGGTTATGGGTACAACAATGGAATGTCTAGGCACACTTTTTTATATAAAAATAATACAAAGTAGAAAATGAATGAACTGCAGCTAAAATATTATGTTCATTTTTCACATGGTCTGGTCCTTCCCCTGTGCCTAGAACAATGGGAGTTTTGAATACTGCTGAATACCTATCCTGTGCTCCCAATTTCTCCATGTCTTCTGTACCACGTTCAGATGCTCTGTAATTAGCCATCATGTTGCTGTCTAGCTTTTAAAAGCTCTCTTCAGCCAATTCCATTCTGCCTTCTTCTCCCATATCCTGAAAGTCTCTTGCTCTCCAAAAACCCCCCTGCTCATTTCCACTTGCTGATGCATGTGCCTGAAATCCCCTTCTCAGCATAACACCTCCCTCCCTCCCTCCCTCCCTCTCTCCCTCTCTCTCTCTCTCTCTCTCTCTCTCTCTCCTCCCTCCCTCCCTCCCTCCCTCCTTCCTTCCCTCTCCCCCTCCCCGCCAGGTCAAACCCTTTCTTGATACTCACCTTTTTCTATGAAGCCTTTGGCTTAACCCCTTGGTCTTCGTTTAGTGTGCATTCATACATGATGGCCTGTGTGCACATAAACAAATGACACCAGCAATGTCAATAGTGTCATTTATATGGATTTAATAAGAATTAGACTGAATTTACAAAGGCTGCTTCTCCCCAATGACAACCTTCCATTTCCAGTTAGTTACAACTATTCTACTGCCATCCGATATAAAATGAACTCTGCAATATGTAAAATAAAGGCATATACATCATCCTCATCCCATTTAACTGTATTGCTTATTCTCCCCCCCACCTTCCCTTGTTTCAACTACAATCAGTACACCATTATGGGTACAGAGCAGACTCACAGAGAAACAAGGAGGGGCTGCCTTTGCACCATCCTAGTACTTGCCTGGTCTGCTCTCCCAAGTCAGTGTGTGTGTGTGTGTGTGTGTGTGTGTGTGTGTGTGTGTGTACACTGCAATTGTTGCTTGATCTGTGTATCATCTGGTTACAGCCCCTCCTTGTGTTTGTGCTATTTGTAACAGAAGTTAGTGTTTAATTTCTGCCGCTGGGGTTGAAGTGTGGTCCACTGCCCACCTTACTATAACAACAGGCCGAGGGCTGACCCCCCAAAGGGGCTGACCCCAAAGGAAACCCTGGGGCAGGGGTGCGCAATGCTGCCAGTCAGGCTATAGAAATTGAAATATACTCGGAGTCAAGTGTGAATTTCATGCTCTTTATTCAGCTCTTTATTCAGCAATAAATGAAATTTTCCCCCAAACGTCTAGCTATATATACATTATTTACACAATGGGCCCCGTGTGATTGGCTAATTCCGGGCTGCTCCTGTAGGCCAATCAGGTTGCTGATTCACTTCATCCATGAGCCTGATTGGCTGCTTCTGCAGGTCAATCAGGTCACTGATTCACTTCCACCTGGAGCTGGATTGGGTGGCTCCTGCAGACCAGTCAGACTGCTGCATTCTGAATCCTATTGTTCTAGGATTCAGCTCCGTACATAACAGAAGTGTAGGCCAAGCACTGCGTGGGACACTTTGGAGTGGGACAACTATTGGGCAGTTGCTTTGGGGGGAAGGTAGTGAAGAGGGCCATGGCGGGGCAGCTGCAAGCATTCTTGGAGGACACAGATTATTTAGATCCATTCCTATCAGGCCTGGACATGGATCTGAGTCAACCTTGGTTGCCCTGATAGATGACCTTTGCAGATAGTGGGACGGGTGTGTGTGTGTGTGTGTGTGTGTGTGTGTGTGTGTGTGTGTATGACCTTGCTCCTCCTTCTTGATCTCTCCTTGACATTTGATAGCCATTGCTTGTGGTCTCCTCTTCAACCAGCTCTGGGGAACAGGACTCAGGGACACTGTATTGCAGTGGTTCCAATCCTATTTTCCAGACCAAATCTAGAGAGTAGCATTGAGAGAGCTTCTATATTTTGTTTATGGGTGATCCTTGCACCAGGCAAAACCATTCCCTTGAGTGGTTTAGGAGTTGGAACACTAATATACCAGAACTATAAGGGAAGGGGGTTATATTTCCACAGTTTCCCACACCTGGTGAATAATACATTCCTGTTGATACACTTTCAGAATATTACTATCAGTTGGGAACATAAGGCATTCGCCTGCCTTCCACTGAGTCAGCCCATTGGTTCCTCTATTCCAGCATTGTCTACCTAGACCTTCCGGTGTCTCAAGCAAGAGTATTTCCTAGCTCCACCTGGAGTTTCCAGGGATTGAACCCAAAGTTCAGCAAAGTTCTTCTGAAGCTCTGCAAAGTACATCAAGAGATCTATCATTCGCTCAGTTGGACACTTCTGTCTTCAGTATGATTTCTCCTTTTATAACATTATTCAACACATGTTTTTATGTATGTCTTTACTCAATAGGGGCTCCATCCATAATGATCTAGGGTAGCCTGCTGTGTAGAAATGGGTGACAGATTGTATGGCCTCACCTTTGGAGCTCTGGCACCTTTTCATTTTGGTGTTAATTGGATTTGGCAATTAGCAGGATATAAATTGTACAAAGGCTTGAGGTCAAAAACCAGGAGGAAATGTAAACCAGCTTATCCTGACAGAGTTTTATCCTGCGGAAGGACTATCTAATAATCTCTAGTTAGGAGCAGCTCTTGGTTCAAAACAAACCAGATCAGTAGTTGGCATAACCAGAGCAGTCTTCAGGGGCATCATTTCAGTTTTCAGCTCGGGAGGGAAGATATTTCAATAGGGGGACAATATTCACAGCCAGCTTTAAATGTCTCTTTCACTATATTCAATTTTAAACTGCAAATAAAAATCAGTGCATTTTGAGATTGTGTTGTAATTTCCATTTACATCTTGTCTGAGAAACAATCACACATGGACAAATAAAGCTGCCCTCCCTCCGTCTCTCCACACATAGCACGTTGTACCACTTCAAGATTGGTGCTATACCACACAACCAGTAACATAGAAATTGGGGGTGATAGCATTCATTGTTAGGGTCCAGGGACAGGGAAGGGGATACACAAATGGTGTGCTTTGGAGTGATGGTGAAAGCAGGGTGCTGATTCCTAGCACTGGCATTGTTGGCCAGATTGGAAGTGTCCTGCATGAATGACAAATTACCCCAGTTGGGGGTACAGCATGGGGATGGGGCTGCGGGGTGATGGCCCCAGGCACATTTTTCTTGGGAGAGCTGCTCATGCCGCCCTGTCAGCCCTGTGTCGCTTTGCGAGGCAGAGATCTGATCTGAACGATTCTCCTAGCGAATCGTTCAGATCAGATCCCCGCCTCGCAAAGCAGCTCGTGGCTGGTGCCATTCCGGAGGCATCAGCGGCAAGGGTTGAGGTGGCACGGCAGGCTCCTTTCACCTTCCATGCCCCACCCCCCTGGTGCACGCACATGCCCCTCCTGGGCACCAGCAAACCACGCTACACCACCTACCCCAGTAGCATCTGTGATTAGACAGGCCTATGTCTCCTTTGAATAGGAAGGAGAGGATACCAGCCACTGAACTTCTGAGACCACTACAAGGTAAGTGATACAGATATCCTTGTTGGGATTTGTGTGCTCACCAGCTGCGTGATAGCAGCACATTGTTTACATCATGTGATACTTCTGATGTTACTGAGCGTGAGACAGGATGTCCTACGCTGTTCTCAGGGTTGTGTTCTCAGTGTAACTTGAGACCTTCCTGTTGTTGCTGCAAAGGAGGAAGGAGTGAGTTGTACGGAGGCTGCTGAGAGAGCAGACATGATTTGTACTAGCTCTATGTACAGTGTACAGTCTGTGAATAAAGTACAAAACTAGGCTACTTTCAGACTGTTTCTTTCTTCTGCTGAGATGCAAGGGGAAAGTGAGTGTGCATCTCTCAAGAGGGAGGTATCGCTTATTACCGGTCTCCCTGGACTGAGCCAAGACCAGCCAGGGGCAGACCACCCGAGAGAGGCCTCAGAGGAGTCAGCCTTTCCTGGGGGGGCTGCTCGCCAACAGTCCTGTGCAGTTCTAGCATCACTGCTGCATTCTATAGCTGGCAGTTGCTTTCGGACATAACATGGATATTTCACCTCCTGCTTCCACAACATCTCTGATGGAATATCCTTGGAAAAGGTAGACACTCCTATCTCCAGTGACACCTGGGCCCTTCATTCAGTGAAGTTACCCAGCTGTGCACATGGTCTAGCTCACTCTGGTTTTACAATGTTCCCCTGCCAGCTTCACTGATGTACCGGAGACCAGACATGAGCATATGGTGTAGGTAAGATCCTCCACTTTATAATTGTCAGCTTTATAATTGCCTCATTTTACAGCAGTTACATTGAAAACAGCTTATGCTGAACCTCAGATCCAATTACACTCTGATTGATGGCAACTCCTCTCTTCTCTTTCTCTCTCAAACCTCTTGGTGCTTTTTCGGAGTGGTTTAGATTTTATTTCCCTTCTCTGGAAAAAAAAGGAAGTTGTTGTTTTGACACTGAAAATCTTCTAGCATTTTTCATTTCTATGAAAAATTGTGTTCTTTGTCTTCCATTCACCAGAGATTGCAAGAAAATTTGCAGTTAACATCCCTATGAAATTGGCAAAATGCCCATACTCTTAAGATGAGCTGCTGAAATTGAAGATTTATCTGCAAGATTTATCTGCAACCTATACTTGTAGAATGGCTGTTGTATGGAAATTGGAGGGTTAATTAAGTTTAGATCCAGTTTCTATGTATAGTAAAACAACAACAACAACAACAACCAGGAATATGGATTGCTTCCTCCTCCTTGACGATCACTCGTAGCTGAGTAAGATTGTCTTCCATGAACATGGTCTTAAAAGTGAGTCCATAAGTGATTGTGGAGGCCAATTCTGGAGCCACACATCCTTCCACAGTGAAGACATAGGCAGGAGTTGATCTTGGTGAAGGTTTGCCAAACGTGCCTTCCTCTTAGCATGTCTCTCCCTTTCGTCCTGTGTCTGAGCGTCTTCAAAGTCTGTGATACCTTTGGTAAAGGCTGTTCTCCAGTTGGAGCACTCGCAGGCCAGTGTTTCCCAATTGTCAGTCTTTATACTACTTTTTTTTTTAGATTTGCCTTGAGAGAGTCTTTAAGCCTTTTTTGTTGACCACCAGCATTACGCTTTTCATTTTTAAGTTCGGAATAGAGTACACAGTTGCTTTGGAAGACAATAATCAGGCATCCAAGCAACATGACCAGTCCAACGAAGTTGGTGTTGAAGAATCATTGCTTTGACACTGGCAATCTTTGCTTCTTCCATTACACTGGCATTAGTTTGCCTGTCTTCCCAAGTGATGTGTAATTTTTTTCAGAGACACCGTTGGTGGAATCTTTCAAGGGGTTGGAGATGGCATTTATAAGTGGTCCATGTTTTCTCTTCATCAAAGACATGGTCACAAGCTTAAAATTTTAAAAAAAGAAGCTGTGGTGGCATCCAAAGGCTGGTAGCATTGTGCAATTGTCCCACTCACCACCAGGGTCCAATCCCAGCATTTGCTTTTCATTCAGACAGGGCAGGGACGTCCAACCAGTAGATCATGATCTACAGGTAGATCCCCGGCTGATCCTGGTAGATCGCGTGAATGGGTGGGGTATAAATATATTATTATTATTATTATTATTATTATTATTATTATTATTATTATGTCACACTGAGAATTTGGAAAGCACAGCCTTCAGCATAACCAATGGATTAAAGGGGGAGGGGGACACAGCAATCCCAACAGCAGTTGATTCAAGAATAACATTTCCCACCAACAAAATATTATGAACTGAATGAGAATCCTCACAGCGGAAACACCTATAGAGCCAAAATAAGGATCTATCACCACAAATGAAGAACCACCATGTACGTTTATGGGGGTGGGGGAGAGAATTATTGCGTAAATAAAGCCATCAATAATGCAAGCACACACACACCCATCCCTGTGTGACTAGTTACTCTTTGAATAATAGCTTGTAAAATTCAGGTTTTAGATTCCACATGATGAATGCCAGAATGCTTTTTTGGTGGGTAAAGGTAAAGGTAAAGGTACCCCTGACCATTAGGTCCAGTCATGGATGACTCTGGGGTTGCGGCGCTCATCTCGCTCTATAGGCCGAGGGAGCCGGCGTTTGTCCGCAGTCAGCTTCCAGGTCATGTGGCCAACATGACTAAGCCGCTTCTGGCAAACCAGAGCAGTGCACGGAAACGCCGTTTATCTTCCCACCGGAGCGGTACCTATTTATCTACTTGCACTTCGATGTGCTTTCAAACTGCTAGGTTGGTAGGAGCTGGGACCGAACAACGGGAGCTCACCCAGTTGCGGGGATTCGAACTGCCGACCTTCTGATCGGCAAGCCCTAGGCTCTGTGGTTTGGACCACAGTGCCACCTATGTCCTTTCTTGGTGGGTAAAGGTAAAGGTACCCCTGACCGTTAGGTCCAGTCGCGGACAACTCTGGCGTTGTGTGCTCATCTCGCTCTATAGGCCAAGGGAGCCGGCATTTGTCTGCAGACAGCTTCCGGGTCATGTGGCCAGCATGACTAAGCTGCTTCTGGAGAACCAGAGCAGCGCATGGAACCGCCGTTTACCTTCCTGCCAGAGCAGTACCTATTTATCTGCTTGCACTTTGACATGCTTTCGAATTGCTAGGTTGGCAGGAGCTGGGACCGAGCAACGGGTAGGTGTAAGCAAAACAGGAAAAAACAAATTGCCTGGAGAAAACAGCAGTGAGGTTGTCATCCTAAATCCATTTGCATCATTTCTCTGTGTGTGACTGGACTCCGACTACAACTCGGATTAGTAGCTCTCTGCCAAAAAGGTACAATATGAAACAAAGCTGAGGATCTGCCAATGGATAATTTGGAGTATTCCATATCTTGCCACAAGGAGGAGTAAAATGTCCACTGAAAGAAAAGCATTGGGGAACTGATTCTTTTAGCAAGGAATAGTGAGTTGTATTCACTATCCAAAGCTTTGCTGGGGAAGAAAACTCCCAGTCTATGCCAAATAATAATAATAATAATAATAATAATAATAATAATAATAATAATAATAATAATTTATACCCCGCCCATCTGGCTGGGCTTCCCCAGCCACTCTGGGTGGCTTCCAACCAAATATAAAAGCTTCCCTAAACATTATGCATTATGATGTTTTCCATCTGGGGAAAAGTTAGAAATGTGTGAATGGTTTTTAATAGGCACTCTAATAAGCAGTGGCTTCTTTACATAGCCAGGAATAACATGAATCCCATAACAGATCTGCTTGTCGGCTCCTTTCCACCATCCCACTCCTAATATCAGCACTCTGGGGGTGGTGAGTACAACACTGGAAGGGGATCAGACCAATTCTGCAAAGTGAAGCAGAAGAGGGGCTGGTTGTAATAGGGGCTTGTGAAAGGAATTTCACATGGAAACAGTTCCAATAAAGGGTGAGGGATTGGTGAAATGTGGGGAGGACTTCTATGAGGCAAGAGCATGAGCATGGCCAATAAGCACACATGTTGTGGGAGGGAGAGATTTTCCACGCATGTGAGCAAGAAATCAAACCTTTGTTTTCTTCACTGCAATACATTTTCTTAACATTCTATGCTGTTTCCTACATCCAGACTGGTCCTGTTCAGTAGTGAATTCTGAGCAGATTGACTGAATGAGGATGACAAGAGTTTACAGTGCAATCCTAAGCATGTTCACTCAGAAGAAGCTCCTGCTGAGTTCAATAGGACTTACTTTCTAGAAAGAATGCTTGGGACTGTATTTTCCATGCGTAAGTCCTACATTTGTGTTGACCACATGCTAATGTAAGCAAAACCCAATCTAACATCTCTACTGGCTTAAATGTGCAGTTTTACTTCCATGTTCCATCCGGCATCGGTGATGTTCTCACATTCCACATCAGCAACAATCAGTACATCAATGTGAGATGCTTTTGGATATCTGGCGTGGAAACACTATAAGGAGCATGCCTCCTCCTGTAAGCAGTTTAGTTCATTTCTTTTCCTTCCCTCAGTCAAGTAGAAACATGAGTGTGTTAGCTCCTGTGTTTGAATGGGAAAGGGTTTTTACAGGGAGTTGTCCTGGTATCTGCTTACACAGGATCAATAAAATGTGTGTTGCTATTACTTCTGTTGTCCTGTGTGCTGCAAAATGCACAAGGAATCAAAGCAGATTTCCTTTTTGTGTTATATTCAACTTATGCATGGAAGCAGGGCCAGATTTAGGTTTGATGAGGCCCTAAGCTACTGAAGGTAATGGGGCCCTTTATATGTCCAGCTGTCCTTTGTCAACAACAAATTGTCACTGTTTTTTTGTGTTGAATATATGCTATATGGTAATTTATGAACTTAATAGGTATCTAAAGCCATTTGCACATAACAAAATATATATATTATCATAAAATACATATTTTATGTAGGCACCCTATATATAGAAATGAGCAAACCAGTGATATTTTAGGGAGCAGGCTAGCAGGCGGGGCCCATCACTTACATCACAGGAGCCTACGCAACACAAAACACTATTGCTGTATGTAGGTTTTTTTATTTTTTTATCTTATATTTTGGAAATGTACATCCAGGTGTTTTTTCCTTTAATTCTGTTTGGGGGCCCCCAAGAGAATGGGGCCCTAAGCTATAGCTTGTTTAGCTTATACATAAATCTGGCACTGCATGGAAGATACTGTACATAGGAACTAACACCCAAACTACACATGCACTATAGTCAGACATGTGAGGGCTTTAAAAATGTGTATGTATTGGAAGTCATAGCTGCGTAGCAGACAAACAATCTATATCTATATACCAAGATAGGACTATCACATGCTAATATCTACAGATATGTTTCATAGTTATTCTGACTTGGAAGTACTTTCTGTGCAGGAATTGTGTGACTATCAAAGTGCCCTGAGTTCCATTAATTATTTGCTCACATTTGAAGTTGCTTGCATGGACATAAATGCAAGGATTACTCTTGCGTCTGCAGGAATCTAACCAAACTACACAAATCCTCTTAAGGTACTGACTAAGATGAATGCTTCAAACATGACACCAATGTTGCCTTGGGCTCCTTTGGCAGGAAAGGTTGGGTATAAACGTAATAGATAAAATAAACATAAATGTGATAAAATAGTGTTTTGCCCTGATTTTAAACCCCCTCAGATTGCAGGTGGGTGTGATTGCAGGAAAGAAAAAAAATGATGATTTGCCAACAAGAAGATGGAGCACCTTGTTTCTGCTTCCCAGCCTGGTTCATCAGGATTCTCTTCCAGGTGGTGTGCACAGCAACCTGCAAACATTTTATTTACAGAGTTCACTCAGCCTTCCATCAGTAAAACCAACTTTGTATTCTTACCACGTTGCTTGACCATTTCAAGGGCACTTGCAATAAAGATTGTGCTGTCTGTTAATAGACCCTGGATTGGAGCATATCTCTTTCCCTTCTGATTCACTGCTAGGGAGACCCAAGGCAGCCTCATGTCATTCACGCACACTCTTTGTCACCTGACGATAGAAAGCTGCTGGGTAATTGCCCTTCTCATTTCAAAAGGCAGTGTGCCAGCAGCATGACAAAAGAGGGCACAAAACCTATCAAGATCTGTAGAATGTTAATTAACATCATGACTTTTCCCAGTGCACTTTTTCTATAGAGAAAGCACTTCAGCTATAAGAGAAGGCAGGTAACCCACATGAGGTTTGGCCAATTCCAGCTGCTTAGCATGCAAGACACAGCTGCTTAGTAGCAAGACACAACATGGCAATAGGCACTTTCCTCCTGCAGGGTAGTGTTTTCTGTGGAGGGAAAGTGTAAGGTGTGGTGCAGCTCTTCACCCTCCACTCCCCAGACCTCACCACCAACGGGTGGGCAGAGGGCATGCAGTAGGGCTCTCCACAGGGGACGCCTGGTTCTGTGTGCCCGGGGCAACGGCCCCCCTGCCCCCCCCACTATGCCAATGCTTGGAGGATTCAAAATACTTCATGCTGGTGTAGCATAGTAGCTTGTACAAAAACAAGTGGGGCAGTGGCTCAGAGGCTGAGGCTGCATATACACGCCATACCTTTAAAGCACACTCAAAGCACACATATATGCAGGGCTTTTTTTCAGCCAGAACTCACTGGAACTCAGTTCTGGCACCTCTCAGGTGGCTTCCATTGACACTCTTAAGAGAACAAGGAAGGTGTTCATGGTGAATTCTGGCACCTCATTTAAAAGGGTGGTGTGTGTCTTTAGCTACATTCAAGAGGTGCCAGACTCTAATCTTTCCTCTTCCGTGAACTCACTAGGTGGCTGTTGTCACTCACACTCACCAGCCTCATCAACCCCCCACAAGAACAACTACAGTATGGGGAATAATAATATTGACAAACCAGTGGTGAGAACAGGGCAATTAGCTTCTGTTCTAATAAGATGCTTGGCAATTCCCACCCACACAATCCATTATTTCACTACAGATCTGACAGTCCATGATTCAGATTTCACCTCTGCTATTAACTCAGCCTTAGACAACCTACTCTTTAACCCAGAAACGTCTCAGTCTGCAATATGGAGAATACTAATCTACCCTATAGGAGATTACAACTAGATAAGGCATGTGACGTAAGCACAATTAATAATTATCATCTGTTATTGTTATTGTCACTATTGAGGGGTTTGGGGAGAGAGGGTGTGTTTGAACCCCTCTCCCCTGCTCCCAAATAGGTGACTCCAAGGAACTTGAAACAGGCAACTTGAAAGAATGAAGAGATAATAGCTAAATGCCCCAGAGAGCCCCGGGAGAATTCAGGGCACTCACATTTGTTTGCTCTCTGAACTTCTGTGGTCTTCAGCGATAGTCACACGCACCCAGCCCTGCCACGTTGCTCACCATTCACTTGCCGCTTTAATGATTCCCGGACACTTATCTCGATCCTCAGTCTAAGCTCAGGGCTGAGATTTTTGCGCACAGAGTCACGCTAGGGGAAAATAAGTTATAAAAATAAAAAAGTAAATTTCCCAAACCTTTTCCTCCTGCCTTTAGGCTGCTGGCTCCTGCTTCTCCGCGAAGGAACACTTTAAATCCCCTTGAAGTAGAAGGAGAGCCACAAGTGGCTTTTCGGCAGGCGGTTAAGTGTCTTCTGTAGATCAGTCTGGAGCTGCTGCGAAGACGCGGTTTCTTAACAGTGTGGTGGCTGCTCCCCTCTCTGCCCCCCTTGTCTTTCCGATAGATGTTTCAGAGAAGATTCAATAGCCTTCCTGGGCTCTGGGCTCGTCCCTTTGCTCCGCAGCATCGTCCAGGCTGGATCAAGAGAGCCCCACGGGGAGCTGTCCGCGCCTGGTGGTGCTGAAGCAACGCGCTCACTGGCTCTGCCTTGCAAAGCGAGCGGCAGAAACAGACCCTCGCCCCCCTCCAACCGCCGTCTTTTATTCAAATCAGCGAGCTCCTCTTCTCCTCCCACTTCATCCCCTTGCATCAAATTTTATTCCGCCCTTACCGGAGAAGAAGGGTGCTTGCGGCGGCAAAGAGAGGTCGCCTGCTGTCATGACCTCTTCCTCATGATCCGCCAGCATTCACTTTAAATGACCTCGGTGGCTTTCCATCTATGCAGAAATTCTAAACGAAGCCTGAAAATTCTTTTACGCCTAAAGCATCGAGATTTTAAACCCCACTGGTTTCTTTCTTTCTTTCTTTCTTTCTTTCTTTCTTTCTTTCTTTCTTTCTTTCTTTCTTTCTAAAAGTTTTTATTTATGAAAAACAACCAAAGCACAACCAAAATTGCAAAACGTAGGAGCAGAGCAGTACAGAAGCCATGTTTTCCAAATAAGTACAGAGCAGATATTGTGGAAAGATGCGAGCTGCAAAACACACGGTGAAAGCCAAATTTTGCAATTTGGTGGGGGAAGAGAGCTTTGTATATCTGAATTTGCCACGTAAGAAATGCAATCTCACCAAATGGTATAGGAACGTTCTGGGTCTTCCCTACTCTTAGAAACACGTAATATGTGAGTTATTTTCTCAGCAATAGTCAAGAGTCCACATATTCTTATACCACGACGAGAGTCTTGAAGCATCTTTGACTTCTGAGCCAAATTAGTTCTTGCTGCAGTCTGCATCCATGTAAGATGTTCTTTATAGTGGAAAAGATTTTTTTGATCACCCCACAAATTCAAAAGACCAAGTTGTGGGGAGGCTTAAATGGGGCATTTAATTAATAATAATTTCAGAATAATCAGCCGAAAATGTGGATGCCAAAGAGCATTCCCACCATTAAGTGGGAAAATTGCCCCCCTGCTACCACAGCTATGCTAACAATCCTATAGTATGGGTTATTTGATAGCTTATCAGAAAGCTGCAAAGCTGTATGGTATTACCTGTACATAACTTTTAAAGGAATATTCCATTCCATAAAATGAGGTTGATTTATAGGGCTTAGACCCCCAAAAGTCTTTCCCCTTATATTCATCTATTTTCAGTTGTGAGTTCTTCTCCCAGATAAGTTGAAGACCTTCTAATGAAACATAACAAAAAGTTGTTGTTGTTTAAAAATTAAAGCACAAATACTAATACTCTGCCCCAATGACCCAGATTTAATTTTTTAAAAATCCTTCGAATTTAGTAAGGGGTCTAGCCTTAAAGACAGAATTAGCCTATAACACTAGTTTTTCGATGCTAATCCAGGGTTCTTTTTTGGAATACAAAATTATAAATTAGATTTTGTCCATTTTTAAGAATGCCAGGATGGAGGGGTATGGGGAGTATCTGAAAGAAATTAAAAAAAATGTATTATTACAATTTGGCCTAACAAAGACAATTGGAGACTGTTTTATTTGTATTTGTATTACAATTTGTATTATTACAATTTGGCCTAACAAAGACAATTCCATTGACCAGTATCATTTAAAACAACCACAACAAGAACAGCCGTTGGGAATATAATTTACAGTATACATGTTGTTTATATTTTGTGGAATTTGAACTTGTAGAATTTATTGCCGTTTGGAATATTGGCTGCTTCTTTTAGCTTTGATTGCATACCTGGGGCTACATTAAAATACACGATTCAGGATTTGTGAAGGCTAATAGGAAGACCTGCCATCTGTTCAGCTTGAAGTAGCTCCCTTGAACTAGGCAGAGCCTCTTGTGGGTTGCTTACCATGCAGATCATGTTGTCTAGAAGTTTAAAAGATGCTCTTCTGCCTCTCTCCAGGACTCCTTTATATTGGGGTTAGAACGCAAAGTGATAGCTAATGGCTCCAGGGAGAAGTCAAAGAGCAGTGGAAACAAGGGGCAACAGGTGGGTGTCCCTGTTGATTGATACGGGGCTTGCTTCAAAGGGAAGAGAATTCCAGAGAACTGTTGCCACAGTGCTAAAAGCATCTGCTCACACTAGAGTGTTTCTGACCACAGAGGTGTGTGGCACCATTACTTCAGATGGATTCCCTAGTCAGAATATATGCTATCTCAACTTCCTGTTATTTTTTTAAAAAATCAGAAATGATGTCAGTGTCTGACAATACCTAGTGCTTTGTGCCACTTCCATTTTTCTCTCCCTCGGGTGATTTGATGATTATTTCCTAAGGAACACATTGGTAAGGAGCACAGACTTACTTTGACTGGCTTCAGGACATTCCCAGAGCCAAATGAGGGGAAATGCAACTGTTCGATTCTTAACGTGGGGGGGGGGGCTCTCTTAAAAAATAATAAGAATCAAGGCAGCCTGAAGCTGTCAGAGGAACAAATTTTCCCAGAAAGATCAATATGCTTTCAATGCACCATGCTGAGATGTTTTAATTATTTCCTGAGGTTAGACTCTGCAGTGAGTTGGTACACAGATTATGCAATGGCAACAATATTGAGAACTTGAGCAAAAGCCTACTGTTTCAGCTGCCATGTGCTTATTTGAGAAGCCCTGGATTTTGTATTTTGTGCATGTGGATTGATAACAGATAATATTGTTTCTGGGAAATACTGGATAGCTTTCACCCAATAAACTGTACTCCAGGATGATAGCAAGCCGGCAAGTTGCTATCCCCATGCTTTAAAAATTGCTATGGACCAAGCTTTTCCTGGTGCTACTAATATACCACATTTCCTGCCCTCCAGTGATCAGTGTTATTGATTTTATTTATGTATTTTACCTGCCTCATTTGTACAGTTTGGATTGTTAATTTGTGTTTTATTGCTGCTAGGTAATTTTGAGCGCCATTTGGTGGAAAGGAGAGCTTCAAAGTTAACAACCAAACAGCCAAATATTAAGACTAGGTATGTGCATGTAGAATTAGAATTTAAAGACACCCTGAAGTGTTGGGACGCCTTCATTTTGGAAATGGCAGCAGGAAGCAGGTAGGGTTTTTATAGTGGCTCAGATTCAAATGAACACACAGTGTTTTGAACCTGGAGCTTCACACTAGGAAGTGGGGGCTCTGTTGTGGCAAGTCACATCCCAGACCATGTCTGAGCCCAGCTATGTTAATTGCAGGCAAGCAAGAATATCAATATTGTCAACAGAAAGCAAACCACCCGTTACAGCCTCACCCCCTTGAGGATGTCAGGGTAAATCCCTTTTAAAATGCACAACAGTATTAGGAAAATTTGTAACTTTTCCTTTTTTTGTTTCACTCCTATCCTTCCCTTCATCAGTTCATGATCTAGAGGTAGTGAGGTAGTGAGGATGAGAACCTTTTTCTCTCTTGAAAACTATGCAGAGCTGAAGGAAGAAGTTGGAAGAATAGCCCACTTTCATACTTGCGGGGCGAGTTCCCGCCCCCCACCAAGGATAAATAAAGACACAAGACACCAGAATTTAAGGTTAAATGGGCGAATGAGGCCACAACTTTATTGAATTCAGGAATGAGAGGCATTGGCTTAGGCATTGGTCCTATCGACTATCCGGCTCCAGCCCATTTGCTGGAGACACGGGAAGGGTTAACACCATAGTGGGGGAGTCTCCTGCTGAGGCACGTCAACTAGGAGCTCAGACCACCCTTCGTTCTCTGGGGGGAGGTGATGGCGTTCCTCCCCCCCCCACATCCTCTTAACCCCTTCTTACCAATGCCTAACTTCCCACTTCTTCTTTCAGTCCTAGGTGCTTTTCAAAGTTCCAATAATTCTAGAGGCTCTGAGTTTTACACAGGTCTCTGGAAAAGTGAAGGGGTGTGGGTGTTTTCTCTCTGCCTACTCAAACATCCAAATCACCTATAGACCTGAAGAAGGTTGGCAGCCCCAGAGCTAAAATATGAATATACATGCATCTCACTTGTTAACAGAACAGCAATGTTAGTATTAATTTAGAGCTGGCTGGGCTAAATCAAACCCATGTACACCTTCAACTCTTGCAAAAAAATAAATAAATCAGTACCAGGGGCAGCTGCATGCGAGAGGGGAAGGCCTCACTGAGATAAAGAATGTCCCTTTACTTATCGTCAACAGGTTTACCACACCTATCAGCCAATCACCCATTCCCACCACCCTTCTGAGTAATACCCCTCCCCACCCTCTCAGAATATATAAAGGTCTGGTGACTTCTGTTTCAGTGTATCTGAAGAAGTTGCATGCACACGAAAGCTCATACCAAGAACTACTGTAACTTAGTTGGTCTCTAAGGTGCTACTGGACAATTTTTTTAAAAAAAAAATATTATATATTCCTTTACCTATGTGTCTCTCTTTCTGCACAATGCTATGTATGTCCACTGAGAAGTCCCACTGTCTTCACTTGGGCTTACACCCTAATAGGTGGCTTAAGAATGCAGCTTTAAAATGCATTTCTATTTTGTATGCTTTTTTATTCATTTTGCTTTCTTTCATTTTTGGACCGCTGCACCTGCTTCTCTTTCCTTCTCTGTCTTTCCTACTACAAACACACGTTACAAAGGTTGGACACCATCCCCAATCTCTGCTGACCGGTAGCAAGATTCCAGGAGGTTCCAGACACTCACCTGGGGTCTGTGTTCCTCTGAGAATCAAGAGGTAGCTTTAAGAAATATGATTTATCAGATCAGAATAATCTTTATTTGCATCAGCCACTAGACATAAAATAAAATGTATTGAAGGTAGAGGTAAAAACTTAACTATACAAAATACATTTTGGAGGTTTACCTCAATAATCAAATAATAGAGATTTATTCACATATTTACACCTGAATTAGGATGGAGTGAGTGACCATCTTACAACGTGGTCATCTCAAGAGGGGCTTGCTCCTCACAGCAATGCAGCACTGAAGTCCAAGACATCTCTCCCAGCCTCCCTTCAGCCAGCCAGCCTGCCAAGATCTGTTCTGTCTTAGTTCTCCTCCTCCTTCCTCTCACCCAAACAACTCCTTCCCATCCATCTCCTATCCCAAGCCTAGTTTTGTAGAAGCACATTTTTCCTGTGAA